AGAGACTATACTTTTCCTTCATTACCTTTTTCCCATACCTTTTTTCTGTGAGGTTTTATGATTGAGCTTGGTTTATGGGAGTCAAAAGTACAAATTCCATTATTTCATTTTTGAAAATACAGGAGTCAACTTGACAAAAATATTTAGAACAAGATACCCCCTTTTGGAAAGGACAAGTTTAAGAAGATCTCTGAATGTCAGATTAAATACTTGGACTCTATGTGGCATATAATTGTAGAATTTAGTCAGCACGTTTTTACTGGGATTGTTAATATACATAGAATATATACTACCCTGCATATTATCTCTCTGTCTCTCTTTCTTCCTTTCCTCACATTATACAAGTGTAGTTTTGATGTGTGTTTTGTTTTGGAGAGCTTACAATTTTGTTGTGATTGGGAGAGGAAACAGATTTTTTAGAGGAATAAAACTATAAATTGTAATAAATATAGTCTGGGTCCAGGAAGAGGGCAGCTAGGAAGTGAGAGAAAGCACTTGGCATTTGGTGTGTCATTTCAAGCATGTCAGGGATTTCAGTGTGAAGATACAGGGAGAGTGACATTCCAAGGAGAGGGAACTAAGTTAGCCAAAAGATGGAGTTTAGAAGGCAGGAGGAGGAAGATCAAATTACTAGAAGCACTCAATATTGGAGTGAAAGTGCCATGTATCAGAAATGTATGTTGTAGTGGTAACCTTAAATATCAGACTGAGATGCTTTAAGGTTTTAATTTGATTTTTACCTTAAAAAGAATTTTCATTCTAACAAGAAAACCTAAATTCCTGGAAATAATGTGTTTTTTCGTAATCCAAATAGTAACATTTAATAAAGCTAGGTGCATGGAACTGGGCTAGACATTACAGCAACTACCCTCAAGAGTCTTGCATTGTAGGGATAGAGACAGAGATATAAACAAAGAACTCTAAAACCATGTTCTAAATACCATTACAGAAATATGCACAAGAAATAAGCCATCTGGAAAAGGGAAGTATTATTTCTGAAGGGTTTTGGGCAAGACTCATGGGGGAGTTCATTCAACAAGGTAGGCCTTAAATGATGAAAAGAGTTGGCCAAATTTAGAAGTGGGAAGATAGGCTTTCCAAAAAGAGATAGAGGACAAAAGAGGACAAACTCCAGCCTAGTTAAAGATCGAGGGGGAACTTAGGAAATGGCAAAAAGCTCTGTGAAGCCAGTTACAGCAGATGGAAGGGGTGACAGGTGATAAGCTGGAAATGTGGGTTGGAGCCAGGTTGTAAAGGACACTGGAGACAGGGAGGAATCACTGCAGGTTGTAAGCAGGAAAAAGGCAAAAGAGGATGTAAGGAACTTAAAGAGTGGGTGGAGTCAAGTAGCCCAGTTACTGCTGGTTAGGGCAGTGGCATTGAGAAGCAGGGAAAGGAGTAGCCAAGGGCTCCTGTGAGCTGGAGCCAGAGTATGCTACTCTGAAGATAATTAGTAGATAAGGGTAAGTCATTTGCCACCTTTTGGGATTTCAGGAGGCAGATGAAGACCTTTCCAGAGAAATCGTGTTTAGCTTTTACCCATAAAGTCTCATTTCAAATCATTTACTGATTTTTAAAAATGGGCTTGGTAAGTCTCCCAAAGGAAATCAGCTAAAAGCCATTGTCATCTTGTGGTTCATATAAAACTTTCAAATAGGTTTCTTGTTTTTGTCCCTGCCTAGCATTAGCAGTTTTCTGTCATTCTTCACGTAGGAAAAACTTTATAGTTGCTTTTCCTTCTATGGTCAGCTACATAAACGCGTGTCCTTAGCGTTTATCCTGGGAAGTCTTTTCTCATTCTCACAATAATTGTCACTGAACTTAGTGTTTTCCAGTATCTGCTTTTATTTAAAATGTATACATACCTTGCATCTAGTTCATATCTTGCATATTAATTCTGCTTTCATTAGCATCTCTCTCACTTAGGATTAGGGTTGTCTCTGCATTGCACAGACTAAAATAACAAGGACTTATTTTCTCACATAAAAGCCAGACCTGGGTAATTAAATATTGGACTTGTGCCACCGCTCCACAAAGCTCTCAGGGACCCAGCTCCTTCCAGCTCACCTGTCAACACCCACTGGGGAGTAGTCTTTGTTTTTATGGTTTGAAATGATGCAGCTACCATATCCCCATTCAAACAGCAGTAGCAAAGGTTGAAAAGGGGGCAAAGGACACCTCTAAGTTGTCTTTAAGGAAGGATTTCTCAGGCTTATAATGATGTGATGACTTACCTCTCATTGGCCAGTAGTGAGTCCATAGGAACTACATCTGGTTGCAGGCAATGTAAGATGTAGCTGAATAATCTACTTATTTGTAAGAAAGCAAGGAGGGATATTAGAGGAAATTAAAAGAACGAAAAGATGAAATGTGATGTTTTGGACAGGTAACCACGTTAGAGAGCCTGAAAAACCTTTGTTTAGATGCATTTTTCCCCTGGGTTAACTCGAAATCTTTTTGTACTTCTAAAAATTAAGGTAATCATCTGCCCTAAATTCTTCATATTGTCTATGGTTGAGGATCAAATACAATTAATAAATATATTGGCACTTTGAAAATTAATGTAGGCACAAATATAAAGAATTATATTTTAAAGCACTAAGGCAAGCTGCTGAATATAACTAAAAAATATTACTGAGGTAGTTTGTTGGTTTTTACAACAGCCTTATGGTAATTTTATCTGACAAGCAGAGGAATTAGGTATTCATGAAAAATGGCTCATAGAGAGAACACATCTCTGTTTATGAATTACTTTCAGAAACATGACAATGCATTTGGTTCGATCAACTTTGTGCAGTAAGGATTATCATGGGCATTTTACAGATAGGAAAACTAAGGCAGAGAGGTTAAGTGAATAGCTCAAAGCCATGTAACTGAGTGGAGGTTTCAGAAACGATGTGTCTGCAAATCTCATACTCATAATCTGTGTTGCTGCTCTAGTTTTTTCACACATCTTGTTGCCCATTTGGTAAAGTCTAGATCTCTAAGATTAGAGTGACAGACTCTCAGTTATTTATCCTTATTTTATTTACGTGGCTCTTTCTCATTCCCCTCCAATATAAATCAAATCCTCCAGTCTACCAGTCCCTTTCTGCTTACACAGATTACTCTGCAAAACCGCCTAACTTCCTGCCTCACTAAAACGTTTTCTGTTCTTGGCTTTCTCAACTTCTGCCTCCTCTTTAAGCGTCAACTCAGGTTCCATTTTCTGTGTAAGGCATTCCATGAATACTTCAGTCCACACAGATCTTCCATTTTCCTGAACTTCTGTAACATAGAGAATATATATAGAATGCATATATTACATTTAATTATAGAAGTAAATTATACACTGTATCATATTATTCCATATGTCTTAGCTTTTTCTCCCCAACTAGACCTTGTCTAGTTCTTGTATTTCTTAAGTTATTTCAGTAACACAAGGACACTGGTAAGAATATAGCAAGAACTAAAACTAGTTCACATCTAAATTGAGCCAACAGTTAATCTATAAGAAACTACTTATAGTTTCTTATCTCGTCTAATTTTCATGACAAATGTGGAAATGGGTTCAAAGAAGCAAAAAGACTGATCCAGTGTCAACAGCTAAGAATGGAATCCTGCTCTACTAAACTTGTGGCTAAGGCTTTATCCTCTACAACTCTCAATTCAACATTTGACTGAAAGACAAATACTGTGAGTGTGTGTTTCTGCATGTACATGTGTTTAGCTTACAGTTGTAGGTTGAGAGAAGCCCAGAAAAATAGAGGCATCCCTAACTAATGGTATCCCTTGGGTTAATTTATGTATATCCTATATTGAAAACTAAGAAGACAAGACCTGACAGAAATTTTATCAATAGAAAAGGTGGATACGATCTTCTAATTAAGTCAGGATACTAAAGTGCACTGCAGAGAGATTTTCTTACGCATAGGTCATGAGATATTTAATTCATATCCATGTTGCCATCCACAGAGCCTAACTAGATGATCACTTTTCTTCCATATGCAATGTGAATTGTTTCAGGGTGGGGGCAATGTTTTCTGCTTATGCTCATTTTGTAATCTCAGAAGTAACTGAAATAGTGCCAAGGATACAAATATATTCATAGAAATATATTGTTGGAAGAAAAACAGAAGGTTCTCTTAGGTATCATTTTTTTTCTGATCTATGAATTCCTTCTCCAAGTGGATATATAGACTGTTGAGTCTTTTGAATGATGAGTAACTCAAGTATGTAAAGACGGCAAGCATGTTTCCATTTCATCTTAGGATATTGAATTACTTCCATCAAATAAACTCTTAATGGTTTTGAAAAAAAAATATATATATATATATTATATATATATATATATATATAATATATATATATATTTTCCACCTGGATATCAAATATATCCATTATAGCTTAAGCTATCAGTCATCTACCCATCTGTTTATCTCCCTTTATTTGCATGTAAAAAATTGAGATATCAAAAGTTTTGTTCGAATGTTATCACCAATAGGTCAGTAATTTTTGCATTCTTCTTCTGTGTTCAATACAATATTCAGAACCCATAGGGAAAAGACTAAAATCAAGAAGATCTGGCCTGTTTTAAAAATAATATTTTATCATTTCTTATGACGACAGATATGTTTTCTACTTTTGAGAATTTTTTGGTTCATATTATTTGTTTGTTAGAAAAAAAAAATCTTATATTACACTGTCCGAGTATGTGTTCCTTTTAAGGATCAGGGATCCTGGAATCTCAGAACCAGTTGAGCCTTTAGAGACCTTCTAATCCAACCCCTTTACTACAGAGTTTATGTAACTTACCTGAAGTTACATAGGTAATTAATGCTGGTGTAGGGTCAAGAAGTCAATTCTCCTCATTTTTAGACCTCTCTTTATTTCTTTTTCTCTCCATTTTTCTACCAATTTCAATTAATAGGTTTTAATTCTCCAAAGAATTATTATAAGAAAAACAATTATTTATTCCAAAAGTCACTGATCTTTTCCTCCCTTCTTTTTTTCTCCTCTAGCTCTCTTCAATCTAATTCCTGTGGGCCTGCGTGTGGTGGCCATCCAGGGAGTGAAGGCCAGCCTCTATGTGGCCATGAATGGTGAAGGCTATCTCTACAGTTCAGTAAGTACACTATAGTGTGTGTATGTGTGTGAACTACCACTGAGAGATAATGGAGTAACCATCATGTTGGCCAAGAAAATTGGAAGTTGAAGACGTTTTATATTTTGTGATCTCATTTGTCAGGATTATTTTGAGGATTTTATGATTTATAATGCTAAAGGCCATGTCTTGTTGAATTAGTAGATTGCAGTTACCCTTAATGCAGTATCAGTTCTTGGCCTCTAGCTTCCATTTCGCAGAACATTCTCCTTTTTGAATTTTACCTTTCTGTTTAGTTCAAAGAGTAAGACATTTTTCTTTTCTCTTATTACTTCTCCTTTAAGCATAGAGGATGGCTTAGGAAGGACGATTCTTCAGTTTGTCTGGAAATAGTCTCTGTCCTACTATGGAGAAAAAAAGCTTTCATAATAGATTGTGGCTTTGTTTGTATTTAGTAAGTCTAAGTTTTATCCAATATGTCAGATTCTCAGAATAACTTTAATTCAAAGGCAATACGAATTTATGGAATGAGCTCTGGATTATGAGCAAGGATATTTGGTTTTACTTGCATTTCACTTATTATCTTGATATCCCTTTGGGCAAATCATCTTCCCTATTTGGCCTAATTTTAGACCTTTCAGTTGAGCATGTTGGACACCATGTTGTGTCATGTCTTCTTTCAAATCCCTAACTGGCAAAATTAGATAGCATCAGTGGCTACATTATCAACACTGACATATTTTAAAGTAACTAACACAATTCTGATGCTTGTCTCACTCTCAAGATAATAATTTATGCATTGAAAATGTGGCTGTACTGAATGGTGTGTCTGCGTGTGTGTGTATTTCTGCTTTCTTGTAAGAGAGTTGTCTATTTGTAGTTCCTGAAAAAAATTCCTTGAAAATCATGATTACAGATTTCCACCCTTACTTTCTATGATCTTGGTAAATAGCACGAGGTTATTTTGGAAGTTCCCATATGTCTGCTTGATTCTAAATTAGTTATTGACTAGTTTTCATTAGGCTCTTCAAATATTCAATTAAACAAATCTCTGGCATGTTGGAGCTCAGAATTTGATACCATCAAATATGGTGTTTTTACATGCTGTACAGAAGCAGCAACCTCAGAGTCTCTCTGAACTCTCTCTGCCTCCTGTGTCTCAATCCTGTCTCTCCCAAAGCACAGGATGGAGTTGTTCTCTGTAATTCCCTTATCTGCCAAAAAGAAAACAGTTATCTCTGGTCTGTTCCCTGAGTTTTCGTTAACTGACTCATGTCACAGGATGAAAGACCGAAGTCCATCAATACACTTAGACAGCCTTTTGTCACAAACCATGGTCTACTCTGCACACTCAGAACGCTTGGTTCAAGGTCATTACGTGTTCTTTAAGTTATTCGAATTCACCCCAAAATCATTTCCTGTCTCCTAAAATCATCCACACCTCCTCGTCTCCCTTTCTTCTAAAAAGAAGGGTATGTACCCATGTATACCACATTTTGCAAGGTTGGGTAATCACCCTGTGATTCTCCCCAGTGCACGTTAATAAATTGGTGTTTCTTTTCTCCTGTTAATCAGCCTTTTGTCTGTCAATTTTCATTTAATCTACAGAGGACGAAGGTAAAATTTTCCATTCGCTCCAACAGGTACATTACCTTTGCCTATTAGTAATACATGTGTCATTTGTATTAGCATTATTGAAGTTAATATTTTACTCCTGAAAATATTCAAATCAAAATATACACATACATGCTATATGCATACCTGTACATTTTTTCAAGTTTCTTCTCAAAATGATACTCAAATACATTTTCAGTCAAAATAATGGGCTCTCTTAGAATGTCATAGCTCTAACAATTCTTAATGTCTAATTATTGTGAGTCTATTTTAAATGTAAGAATTAAAATGGGAAAAAAGGCAAGAATATTTTAAAAAATATTTCTAGTTAGTCTTACTTTAAAGATTTAATCAGTCATTAAACAGCTAAATGTAGATTACACTATGTATATTTAAAAAGTCATAATTCAGGTTGTAATTCCACAGAAGCTGTAAAGTTCAGTTCATTACACTAGAGTTGATTTCCAGAGGTCCAGGAAGAAGAAAAACACAAAGTATGACAACAGTATTACAAGCAGGAGACAATTGTGTAAGAGAAGGAGGGAGTTTGGAGGGATTGCTATTTTGTGGTTTCATCCTCTGAAGCTTTTCAGAGATGCATTCCTTCTGTCCTTCTTGCTTAGATAAGAAGTTAAGAGGGGGTGGGATATTGAGCCACAAAAGGGGGTTATAAGGTACTGTTTTTAATGGAGCTGATCCCTTTGTAAAACCTATTGGGATATCTAGATTTTCAGTTCTTCTCTCTACTTAAGTAGAATTTGCCTCACACCTAGGATCACAATACTTTTTCTTGGTGAGTCAAAAATCAGCTGTTAACTTTGGCTTTCCTGAGATGTTTCTGGTGTGCATTAAGACTAGAATTTCTTTGAAAAGCAATTTTCTGTGTCGTGGGCAACACTGCAATTGGGCGACCAATAAGGATCATAACTGCAGTTTATGGAGAGAGAGGAGAAGGCTGAAGCAAACTAAGAGGATCTAGATAAGCTAATTTGGATCCAAAAGATTCACAAGCAGTATCATTTATCTAGTTTCATTTCCCTGGCTTCTATTTATTTTTAAGGTAGGAATCAATTCCCTTGTTACTTTTGATTTCTTTTTCTTCACCAGGAAGCAGGAGGAGGGAGTGGTAAAGATGGAGTGACTGTTAGGCAGCATAGAGCTATAGTTTTAAGACCTGCTCTGAAATTTTGTGTTTTCTTAGGTGAGTTTAATCCATACATATTTGATGAGATTTTTAATGTATCTTGATATGTTTTTACCATAGTAGTTTGTATTTTTTAAAATGTACTTTTGTTTCCCTTTTCTTTTTTTTTTTTAAATTCTGTTGCTTTATTTATATATATTTTTTCTATTTTATTAAATCCTTCTGCAACTTTGTAAACTTAGGCCATATTTTTATTCCTTTAGTGGTTAGACTTAATTTTTAATTATACATAAATAACGACATACTTTGCTAAATATTTTTAGTGTTTCTGTCTTCCTTTCCAACAGCTAGTAAATACTGCAACCTTTCTGGCTGCCCATTTGATTATTTGCACTTTAAAATAAAGTCACATGCACAATTATTTTATCGCTAATCATTAAATTAACAAACATTTTGAATAATTTCTATGCAAAGAATTTTTGTTTGTGTGTGTATATATCATATTTAGTCTCTGAGTTCACTTTTCTTCTAAACTAAACCTTTCATTGTTTTGCCTGTGAGGGTGTGTGGATGGTGAACTCACTTTTGATAGCCATGAAAATGTATTCCTTTTACTTTCATTCTTGTAGTTCAGGTAGTTATAAAATTCTGAGTAGACCAATATTTTTCTCGGCATTTGGAGTATAATATTACATTGGTTTCTGGTATCTGTTGTTGACTATGAGAAGTTTGTTATCAGTTTAATATTTTAATAGTCATTTATACATCCTCTTTGGAGACAAGTCTATTCAGTTCCTTTCCTACTTTTTAACTGAGTTCTGTGTTGTTGTTGTTATTGAGTTGTAGGAGTTCTTTATAGATTATGGCTATTAAGATATATGATTTGCAAATATTTTCTCCCTTTCTATATGCTGCCTTCTCACTGTTAGTTGTTTCTGTGGATACCCAGAGTTTTTAAAGTTAGATGTAGTCCCATTTGTTTACTTTTGCTTTTGTTGCCTATTCTTTTGGTGTCATGTCCAAGATGTAGTTGCCAAATCCAATGTCATGAAGCTTTTTTCCTATGTTTTATTCTAGGAGTTCTATAGCTTAGGTCTTATGTATAGATTTGTAATCCATTTTGAATTAATTTTACATGTGGCAGAAGGTAAGGGTCCAATTTCATTCTTTTGCATGTGGATATACATTTTTTTCCAACACCACTTATTGAGAGACTAACCTTTCTCCATTGTAATCTTGTTGAAGATGACTTGAACACATCCTAGAGAGTTTATTTCTGGGGTCTCTGTTGTGTTCCATTGGTGTTTATGTCTCTTTATACCAATATTGTACAGTTTGATTACCATAGTTTTTTACTATGTATTAAAGTCAGAAAGTGTGAGATATACCCCTTTATTTGTTAATTTTTTCTTAAGATTGTTTTGGCTATTTGGGGTTCCTTGGCATTTTATATAAATTTTAGAATGGAGTTTTCTATTACTATAAACAATGGCATTGAGATTTTGATAGGAATTGTATTGAATATGTGGATTGTTTTTGGTAGTATGGACATTTGAAGCATGTTAGGTTTTTGATTTATAAACATGGGATTTCTTTTGATAAAGTTCAGTAGTTTTCAGTATACGAGTTTTTCAACTCCTTGATTAAACTTAAACTCACAGTGCCTTTTAGAAAGGAAGACCAAAATAATTTTAATGGCATTAAATAACACTTTTTAAAAAATGGAGTAAATAAAAAGTTCTATAAGGCATCTCTTTTTCAAACAAAAGAAGCCTAAGTATGTTGGAAACTTATGTTTCTGAAATACCTTTTTCAATAGTTCAGGAAATACCATTCTGTGTTACAATCTGTTGGGAAACAGATTTTTCTGCAAATTTTACCTTATACACAGACAGTGCCTTTAAAAAATGCTATTTAACCAGTTTTGATTTAAAATGTAATATCCTTTGATTTTTTTTTTTTTTTTTGAGTTTTAGGTTTTTGAAAAACATGTAAGAACACCTAAATTTTCTCAAATGATCACAGTGCTTAAAGGCATTTCAGTTGGAATGGGGAAGGAGAAGTATATTTTCATTTTATACAAAAAAGACAAAACCCAAATAAGTCCTCTATCATCCTCTGTAAATTTACTCACATCTTTTTATATTTGAGTAGTTTAAACTGAACCTCGTAAAAATAAAACAAATTTAGATAAACATCATTTGGTATGACATTATAAAGCCAGATTTTCAAATTGTGGTTAGAAGATTAGTGATATAAATAT